AGACAAGGGAAAAAAATGTTTCCATATGCCTTATAACCTGCAAACAGCAACAACAGAAACATCCTCTGCCTCCTCCCACCCTTTCCCATTACGAATCCAAACCCAACTCTTTAGTGAAATGAGGAGTTCGCAGTAGCTTGGAAACGTGGCCCAGTCGAGCAAGGAAGTTGGTCATTTGTATTCTCAGGCAGTCTCTAGAGCGGCTCTCTTTCAGGGCTCGTCAGTATTTTCATTACAAGCCCCCTTGGAGGGGCGCACAACTTGACTGTGCTTCCTACATAGGGTTTTAGCAACCTGTTCTCATACATTTTTTATAAAAGCCTCTACAACTTCAAATTACTGCATAGACTGTAACGTCAAACTAACTTAAATAGGGAAGTCTATTAGAATAACGTTAAGTAGGAATTTAACTCTTCCACAAGAAGAAAGATGAATTTCAAACACCAACTTCAGGTCCAGTTCTCGTGTCCCATTTGCCCAGGTATGTGAGGAATCTGCAATGATAGCCTGTGGCATAAAATTAGATTATTTTCAATGGGAGCAGTTTGAAGTGAGTGGAAGAAGGAACTTGTTTTCTATTAAGAGTGGACCGGGGTTTCTTTAAGAGTTTTAATCATCTGCTGATTGGTTAAATTAAACACTTTTACCCAGCTGGAATAGTTAAGGCTGTTATCAGGACTGGATTAGACTGACAATAGGAGATTCAGAGCTTTACTAATGGGTAACAATTAGTCCTCTGGTAAAACACACATGCATCTTGATTATTCTAAACACAAGCAGAAATGCCCTCCTACCTACTTTATAAAGCAGAAACTAAGATTCTCATTCTCTCTGGCCTAAACGAGCTTTCTCTCATTTCCCACTATGATGTTCTGGAACAGCCACTAGTTGCTGTTACTCCCCCGATGTACGCTCTGCTCTCTTTTGCTGTCTATCCCATTTGGCTGATGGCCCTCCCAATCCCCGCCCCACCCCTCTAACCCCATCACCACTAAATCGTGGCCATCCTCCAAATACATATTTCCTTTAAATATCTCCATTTCCACAAGAGTTTCTGATATCATAAAATTAAATGGGCTCAATTATATTTGCCGTGTTAAGTATCTCCTCTGTGACTTGCCTTACTCTACTTTCTAGAATATTTACTTGTGCAGCATTGTTAACTCTTTGTTAACTCCCTGATGGTAGGATCTATATATCTCTCACATCCAATGCCTGACGACAGCTTGCACATGGAAGACATACCACCAAAGTACTGAACTGAGCTGTAGGGCACACTTGAAATTTAATCACTACCTTTGAAGAAATCTGTTTTAATATTATACCATCTTTGATTACACTAAAGTGTTAAATTCTCTCAACTTCCTACAGAATTTAACATACAGCCTGTAGGAAGATTCCATTTCCCTTGAGATGAACTAGTGTGAAGGTTTAAAAGTTCATATAAAATCTTAAAATTACTGCCTCCTGAAAAATAAGAAAATATTTCTTTTTATCCTCAGTTCTTCCAAAGTACTTCACAATCGAAAAGTGAAATATAACAAAACATCATCATTCTATGAAATGCACCTACCTCTGGGGTGAAAAGCAACAGCTTAACAAGAATACAGAGACACCACTTTTGATAGGAACTCAAGTCTACGTAGCCCAACTAAGTGACACGGAACCCTGCAACAGCAAAACAGAAAGGGCTGGAGAATGTTTACCATGGGTAAGAGGTTTGGATCATGACAGCAGATACTGAATGTGCTATTACAGACTTAATTTTCAGGAATGAAATATTACAAAATAAAATTGCTTTAAAAGCCCATAATAATACAAATTTGATCTGTCTGACCTCACAAAATAGATATTTTTCTCATCTTTAAGACTTTACTTGCTCAATTTTCTTCAAAATATATAGACTAATAGTTTTAACTCTCAAGTCATTATTTGGTAGCAGCGGAATTTGGATTCCAATTTGCTACATCAGTTCTTTGCTTCAAATGCATAACAGAAAAAGGGCTTAAGGGCTGTTTCTATACAGGCCAGAAGGAGACAAACAAAAGCACTCTGCCCACCTCACAGGTGCAGCAGGAGGGCCCTGACTGTCTGCTGGGATCTGACCACGCCTTCCCTCCAATTCCCACTTTAATGGGGAAACTTTAAACCAAAAATGTTAAGACAATCTAAGTAAATAAGTTAATTTTCATTTTACATTATTTTTCAGAGATCAAAAAACACTAAAAACAGAAGTTTAAAAATAAAAAACATTATCCTCAGAAGGCAACCTCAGTAAGCAAAAAGTAAACAAACATATTTATATTCATCAGATAATTGAGCAGAACAGTTACCTACATTTAATGGAAAGAGAACAGAAAACCAACATGTACATGAAGTTAAAGTCAATTTTATACTATTTAAAAGGTTTCGTTTTAACTTGAACTCAGGATAATCTGTGTGTAAGTTTAGGAAAGATGATTAAGTTCGAGTTTCACTAAAGATGAAATATAAAAACAAACACTTGCTAACAGTTAAGTCCGTATAATCAAATTATTTAGAGTGAAATAAATTTAAAATCAAACACATCTTCTTCACTTCGGCAAGTGTTCCTAATATCTTTGTGGAGCTATCTTGCACAATCATTCAAATGACATAACAGTAATCATTTTGCATACAATACACTTCCCTTCCTCTTGAGAGGTACACTCTGCCACTTAAGCTGATTTTATTCTCACTTTCTTTATGTAAGTGTGAAAAAAGAACAGATGTTTTTCCAAAATTATTTAAGCTTAGAGCACATGCTATCATTTTCTTCAATAGAATCCTTCAGAATCACCAAAATCATCATGGTGATACCTTCATAGCTTACTTCTTTAAAGCACAAGTTATTAAATATCAGAATGCACAACATTGTTCCAAAGATAAAATGTTTATTACAGCAGAATTACCTGCCACACTCATTTCATTTTCCACCATGGGCTTTAAAAACANTATTAAATATCAGAATGCACAACATTGTTCCAAAGATAAAATGTTTATTATAGCAGAATTACCTGCCACACTCATTTCACTTTCCACCATGGGCTTCAAAAACNACATTGTTCCAAAGATAAAATGTTTATTACAGCAGAATTACCTGCCACACTCATTTCATTTTCCACCATGGGCTTTAAAAACAAAAAAAAAATCTGTTCTTTAAAAACAAAAAAAAGTTGTTCTTCATGCCAAGCACTAAAAGACTTCTAAAACTTCAGCTCGCTCCTTACTGCCTACATTCCTTTACATCCCATCTGAAACAACGCTTTACTGCCATTATCAGCTAGCTTGATCATGTTTCATCATAAAACCTATTAAAATGGTCCTTATATAAGAGTGGAGTTTGCTCTGTGTTACTCCAAAGTCCTGCAAATACTAGAATGAGATCCTAGGGAATTGCTTAAAGATGCAGAGAGCTGCCTTTGAGCTATTTTTTCATTATGCCAAACGTGGCCCAGGAGAGAAGGCCCCGTACCTGGGTGAGCTAAAACAGGCAAGATATCGGGACTGTAAACTAATTCGCCAGAGAAAGGTGAAGTGGATACAGACCATTCGGGTTTCTAAGGCAGATCTAAGTCCACCGAACTATTAAGGCAACCGGGTGAAGTCAGAACCTCAGAGATGTTTATCCTTACTGTCTCTCCCTCACTCTCTCAAATAAAAACTCCTCGTTTAAGCTAAACCTGCGAGAGAAACGGCGCATGCTCTATGGGAACCAACAAGTATAGGTACAACTCTAAGTTCTCGAAAGTATAATCACCACATACTCTCGAGCTCCCCGAAATACAGCCAATACTAATGGAGATAATCAAGTATTGGCTCTTTCTCCTTATATTAGTCCCTTGTGTTTATGGAGTGAAGGGTTCCCAGGGACCTTGTATTATTATGTAACACGTCATCCAGCCAATGGGATGTAGTTAGGAACAGGGGATCGAAATCCTTCATTTTATCAGCTATGTCATTATCTATTAATTACAAATAGCATTCACTCGGGTGCCCGTTCTATATGAACCTTGCTCTTGCCTCTTTACTCTCCAGACGAACTCTGAGTTGCGTGGTGTAGAACAACTTTCATTCCATTTTCCCACCCCCTGACATCGAAACTACACAGTTCTCTGAAATGCTACAGCAATACCGGAGTGGTTGCATCAGAAGCCAGGAGTGAGGCAAACCATGTGTCTACACCGGCAGAAAGGTAGCCCTACTTCCCTATAGTTGACCCTGGAAACACGCAACCCTCTTGGGAGAAGCAGGTGCCCCCTGAGTAACATCATGCAGTTTCCTTAAGGGAAATAAGCAATATTCTCCTCCCTCTGATGTTGTGAAGAGATTTTTAAGAAATCAACTGACTAGGCTTCCATTTGTGGATTGCAAATGTCATCCAATTCGGTAAATCAAAAAAAAAAAAAAAAAATCTTCCCTTTTATATGCGCATTTGCTTATTTTTGGCACTTTGATGATGACAGAGCATCAGGTTCCAGGGGTACCAGCCTGAAGGGCCAGCAGGTACAGAAACCCGGGAGAGCCACAAAAGCACGGAAAGTAAGGGTGATAGCAGACGCATTTCGAGTCTGATGAGCCTGCATTTAGGATTTTCCGGCTGGGCAGCTCCGCCAAGGCATTTGGGAGATGGGATTTTTCTCGGGCTCCTCACACTCGCTCGCATACACACAGCCGGACACACACCTGGGGCGCATTCGAACTCTAGGTACAGTAGGTGGCACACACGAACGCATATGCACATATTAAAAAAAAACAAAAAAACAGCCTGACATCTGACAAAGACACGAAGGCAAACGTAGGTGCGGCGAGCCTGGCTCCGGAAACGTGCAGAGCCCCGCAAGTGGTGCCCCCTTAACATGAGACATTTCTGAGGGAGGGCAGACACGGCCAGCGGGGGGGCAGGGGGGGACAGACAACGCAGGGACCCGCGGCTCCCCACCGACAGGGCGCCACATGGCCGGCGCGTAACCCCTGCTTACTGCGGGCTCTTGGGGTAGAAGGGCAGGGTCACATGGCTGAGATCCTGGATGTCGAAGGCGGTGGGCTCCGCGGAGATCGCCTGGCGCTTGGTGCGCGGCTCGCCCTGCAAGGTGCCGGCGCTCTGCTTCTGCGCCTGCTGGGTGGCCGGCCGGATCACCGAGCGGTACTTGTCCAGCTCGTTCTGAAGCTTCTGGATCAGTTCGTCCTTCTGATCCAACTCCAGCTCCAGCTCGTCGATGAGAGCATCCCGCTGCCTCAGCTCCTCGATCTTCTCCTGGAGCGCGTACTGTAAATCCCGCAGGGTGCCCATGCTCCTCCGGCTGCCGGGGGCTCCCGCCCGACGCCGCTGCGCGCCTGGGGGCGTCCTCCCCTCTCGGATCAACTTTCCCCAAAGTCGCCGCTGCCTCCCGAGTGCGAAAGCTTCCTACTTGAGACCGAAGCCAGCCCTGGCTTCTGAGCATGCCCAGTCCGCGGGCTCCAGCCGCCGAGAGTTTCGGGGCAGATTCCACTTCTTGGGGCCGGCGGCGAGGCTGAGCGCGGGGAC